AGTGAATAAAGGGTCCAGGAGATGATGATCACCTCAACATTCCCATTTCAATGTCACCATTAATGGGCTCTTTCTAATTTTATTCCAGAACCTGCACCTACCAATAATTCTCACATTAGGGATTTCTTGGTGTAGTTGAAGGAGTTTGATGAAAAAACCATGTATCTGTATTTGTGTGTGGCAATAGGTGGATATGTTCTCAGTATGGATGTAAATGTATTTTACAGGTTGAATCACTCTGTAAAATATTTTTGTCAAATACCTTATTCTGATATTACTTACATTTAGATTTAAATGCATACTTTCCTAGGGAAACATATTATCTTTTACTGTTGTCTCAGTGGGTGGCAGGCATTCAAATGCTGTTTTTCCAAGTCAGAGGAATTAAGGACCCAAAGGCGATGAAAATTGATGTACAGAAAGAGTGACAACAATAAGTCACGCTATGATGTGTAGGAAAGTAGAAAGCATCCCTACCAATCTTTAAAATGTTTGGCTGAGAGCTGTAGCTGGGTGGCAGGAGAAACTGATTAACCGTCTACTCCTTAGAAGATTCCTCTGACCTACAATCTGGCTAATACTATGAGGCACACAGTATTTAATAGTTGTTCATCTCAGAAAAAATTAGTTATTGTAGGAGTATCACTGATAGATTATGGCTTTCAGGAAGCCTGGGGAATAGAACCTGAAGTTCTATTCTAGTTCACTTTCTTTCCTTTGTGTTTTGCCAGCCTTTGTTGGACGTCTTAGTGAGCAGGTTAAGTGAGCAGAAGATGAGCTAAATGAATGGGAAGAGGAGACATGAACATCTTGCAAAATTAAATGCCCCGTCGAGATACTTGTCCATTTAGCAGCTTCAGTCGCTTAGCACTGGACCTCATCCTGTGGGGCATGCAGAAGCAATATAAGAACTGGCCTCCCCACCCCCAGAATCAACATCTAATTAGAGTTACAACATGAGAACACAGGCAGTAATTGAACAACAGAGGCAGAAAGTGCCATGATGCAGGTGCTGAACAAATGGCTAGGAAAGGACAGAGAAGGGGCCAAGTGTTGTTTGGATGGTCACAGAAAGCTCCTGGGAGGGGCCTGGGCTGGGCTTTTGGGACAGGGAGGTTAAGGTTAGCAGAGGCCACCCGAAGGAGCAACATTCCAGAATGAGCTGGTTTTGAGTTAGAAATGTAGCAGAGTGCCTCAGAGGGTAGTTGGAAGCTGGTCTGGGTGAAGAGAATTAATGTGGGAGAATTATGACAGATGTGGTTAAAAAGGCAGGAGTGGCCAGATTACAAATTTTCATGGAATTCAGGTCAAGAGTCTGGATTTCATAATTTAGCAAATGGCATGATGGAATCTACACAGTGTGAGTAGCTGGGAAGCAGTATTTAAAACAGAATGGAGAGGGGACGGGTATTTGTATACACAAGGAGTGCAATGCGCACCACCCGAAGGATGACATATTTGAAACATGGACTTGTGGGGGGGACCAAGGGCAACATACGTAACCTAAACATCTGTACCCCCATAATATGCTGAAATAAAAGAAAAAGAAAAAAAAGAATGGAGAAAAAGTTGAAAGCAAGAAGACCAGCTGGGAGGCAGTTGTCTGAGGTTACAAATGATGGAAATACCTGGATTGGGATGGTGCAGCTGAGAAGTGGTGAAGGATTAACTTCATCTTGCAGAGGAAGAAGGCTTAGAGAGTGAACAGGAAGGGCCAGTGTACTGACTTTGCACGGAGGGTTTGCAGAGAGGATAGTGGAGTTCTCGGGGGGCGGGGGCAGTGCAGGGAGAGAAGGAAGAGTTTGAACTAGATTATAGGGAAGATGAGTTTGATTTCAGACAGGTTAACTCAGACATAATGGTTGTACTTCAAAGCATTGTCATGAACACATCTGAAGTCACAGACTGGAATTCAGTGAGGAGCTAAGGCATATCCAAGAATCTGTCCCATTCATCGGGGAAAAAAATTAGTTTAGACTGAGGCCAGTAGAGGGGCCACCACCTAACCATGAGGGCTAACTGCTATTTAGTTGAAATTCTAATATCTTAGATAAAATTTAATAAGATTCGAATTCTAGCTACTTGATATGAATGCAAATGATGATAAAGCTTTCAGGGACAGATGAGAGACAAGAGCAGCACCCTGATATTATGTCACCGAAGCAGAGATTCAAGTCCTTTGGTGAAGCATCACTCATAGTACTTTTAAAATGTTAGATATTTTAAGATTAAAGACAGCTTATCTAATCCAATTTATCTACCTATTGTTGAGATTACTTAAATTGCATTTAATTGTGTTTTCATTGCTTTCTCATTTCTTCCTTCTAGAGTGAACTTATCTCTTGTTATATTCAGACACTTAGCTTAAATTACCTTCATTAGAAATCTTGGAAAAATAGAATCTTTTATTTCTTTATGACTAAAATAGTCTCAAAGAGAGAATCGAAGATGGACACTTAGAAAACAGTTCAAGGAGAAAATTCTAATACCCGCCAGAAGTGATGAGCAGAGTGAGAGCTTCTGGTGTGAGTTCTCACAGGCATGGGATAAGGGATCCTGGCACCGTATTTTCTGCCAACGACAGAGCTAGGTGTGTACCATTCACTTTGTTAAATTAGAGATGGCATCCTCTCCTCTCTCTAACAGTGGTATATAACAGGCTAAAGAAAATGAAAATATACCAGTCCTATTGCATGGCAGTAATGACTTGGGCTGATTGTAAAATTAGTTCTAATGGCATGTATCGCTATATTTTAAGATAAAAATATACTGTGAATGTACAATGAAATAGAAAAGAAACTTGATTATCAACAAGTATATACTTCAAGGTAGAGGAAAAGTAAACATGGAGGACGTTCATGACAAAACAAATGTGTCGTGAATGTATCAGTGTGTATATTATGAGGGCTCCAGGGCCCATGATTCTAAGAATAACTGAACTCCCTCCAAATTCCTTTGGCCAGTCTGCTTGGGCGGTGTCTGGGAATCTCCTCAATAAGGCACTGCCATTCTTAGGTACCGCTAGAAAAGCTTCCTGGTGAGAGTATTAACTTTGGAAGAATTCTGTGGCTCTCAAGTCAAGCCACAGAATTCTTCTGTGCACCTACCGCTCTTCTTCAGGTACTTCTACAGGCACCTGTACAACTCAGCCTGCTGATACCATGGGGCCATTGCAATGTAAACGGAAGGCATGGTTAAATACTTTCTCCCAGTATTTATTCTCCCCTTTCTTCATATAATAGATTATTCAGTTGGGCTATGTCTGCCCAGAAAAAAGACTACATTTTCCAGCCTCCCTTGAAGTTCAGTACAGCTACATGACCAAGTTCTGGCCAGTGGAATATAAGCAAAAGTATGATAATGATTTGGGCTGAAAAGAGGCAGAATATATTAGAAGATTATATGAACTCATTCTCAGTTGGCTTAGCCCACTTTCACCTCATCATTGGTTGTAGAAAACTTCTTGTAACAGTGCAGATTAGGGCTAAGTGCAAGTGACAGAACCCCCAAAGCCATTGGCTTAAATAAGGATAGACAGTTATTTTGCTTTCCCATAAAATCTAGGAATTAATCAGCCCAAGGCTGGAGGGAAGGGCAGGTCATCTCTATTACATGAAATCTTTAGTGACCCAGGTTCCTTTAAGCTCATGCTCTGTCATCCTGAAGGTGAGACTTTCTTCCTCAGGCACAAGATGGTAGTTCTCACATTCCAGACAGCAGAATATAATAAAGAACCATAAAGAAGGACAAAGGCGTATGCCCACTGTCTTGTTAGGAAAGATCCCAGAAGCTGCCTTACTATATTTTTGCTTATATTCCACTGGCCAGAACTTGTTCATGTAGCTGTACTGAACTTCAAGGGAGGCTGGGAAATGTAGTCTTTTTTTCTGGGCAAACGTAACCCAGAATAATCTGAATAATCTATTATATGAATGAAGGGGAGAATAAATACTGGGAGAAGGTATTTAACCATGCCTTCCCTTTACATTGCAATGGCCCCATGGTAGCGGCAGGTTGAGCTGTACAGGTGCCTGCAGAGGTACCTGAAGGAGAGGGGTAGGTGCAGAGTAGAGCAGCAGGAGCTAAGAGCATGCACCTAGAGTCACACTACCTGGGTTGGATTCCAGGTTTTTCTCAGATATAAAGGGGAAACAATTAGTACCTTTCTCTTAGAGTTGTTGTGATTACTAATTGAAATACTGAATATAACACATTAAGCATGATATCTAACACTTCAGAACCATTTGATAAATGTTATTAGCTCTTATTAACAGTAAAATGAAAAGATTTTGAGCACCCACATATGTATATATAACTATTCTGTGTATCCCTACAACTTGGAGGATATATTTATTTTATTTTCTAGATCTGATAAGATACAGAGTATTTTTTGTTTCTAATTGAATTTTCCCCCCTTTGAAAATAAGCTAGCATGTGCATGGTTGGTGGAGGGTGGTTCCTAACAAATTATATGAGTAACTTTTAAAAATTTTCTGTGGATTCTACATGTTTCATTGACACCATCCTGCAGGCTCTTACTTCTTCATACTAGTTTCGAAGCGAAGCATATTTTTACATTAAGAATTTACCGGATCCCCCTTTCTACTGATGTAACGAAGTGGGAATTGGGCACATCACAAGGAGAAGGCCATCCTTGGATGGATGGGATTCAAAGATGACAACGTGGAGTGGGTATGCTGTGTTGGCCTAGAAAAGGATAGAAAGCTCTGAATTGCAAAACTAATGTCAATCAAAATGTATGAGTTTGGTTTGTTCTTCATTTAGAAATGTTGATAGAAAGACTATACTTTCAGGGATCATTTCTATAGTGTGTTACTAGAAATGGTGATAGAAAAGAAGTGGGTAAAAAACGAAGCCTGATGTTCCAACATTGATGTCACAATTTTCTTTTGATTACAGACAATAAAATAGTTGTATTAAGATTTTTTTTGCCAATACTTAAATGCTCTTTTGCTTTTCTTTTTCTTTCTTTCTCTAAGCCCCTTCTTTGTTCTGTGGCTTTTCTTTTGTAACTCCTCCAGACTACAGCTTTGTTCCCCCTTCTTCCACTCCTTTCTGGTCAGGTACTGCTTTACTGCTTTTATGTGTCTCTTCAACTTGCTTCTGTTTGCAAATAAAATATTTTGACTTCTGTGTATGGCTCCTCATATAGACGCATCTCCTCACAGACGGTCCCTCGAGTTCCATCACCACCATGCACTTTACTCTTCTCTGTCATAAAGTCATCGTTTGTCATGACATTTCATGTCCCGGTTTCTGCGTGTGTGCTCATGCCATGTATTTTAGTGAGACGTTTTATAGTGTGTCTGTTGGGAGAGGTGGGAGAGGGATGGGGGTTTGGAAGTATAAAGGGGGCTGAAGTGCTCCCTTCATCCCCCTTTAAAAACTAAAATCATTTTGTTTTCTTGAGGACCAATAATTTTAGTTGAGAAAAGCCAGTGTCTGTGTGTTTCCATTAAGAAAATAAATAGAATCAATCTTTGTCTCCAAATATAAGAGTAAAATCTGGTCCACATTTGCTTGAAAGGATGACTGGTGCCCATCAGTTCTCCCCTCTTCAGTTTGTGCAGAGGCATTTTGGTCTTGATTTCTGTCAGTAGCCGGAGAGTATAATGGCTGTTTATGTGACATTTAAGGGAGGACATTATGACTAGGTAAAAAGTATGTTTTAAAAAATTAACCTGCAAGTCCCAATAAAATCGTAGAATTTAGAACTAAAGAGACCTTGGAAGTCATCTAGTACAAATGTTTCATTTTATAGTTGAGAAAAATGTGGCCTAGAGGTGTTAAGAGACCTGCGCAAGGTCACACAGTTAAGTTGATGATTGGGCTTTTCCATCACAGGGGTGTTTTTATGTGCACTGACTTTAAGAGTAGTGTGCCCCAGCAATGAGACAGTTTTCAGTAAGAAAACTATTAAAGTGGTTTGTGTCCTGAACAGTAAAATAAAATGGCCTATTTTCACTCCCTTTACAGTTCTGAAATCTACAGCATTGCCATTCGTTTATCTTATGATCGACACCTGGAGACTAAAAAATTTCTGTCATTACAAAGGCATGAATAATAGGCCAGAGATCCCTGTCACCAAGTGGGCAAGCTCTTCCAGAGTAACACGGGTCATAACTTCACTGCCTGGGCACTGGGAACTGTTAAAAACACAGATGGGTGGCGTTTCCCATTTGTCTCTTTTTCTTACGCTTAAGTTCCTTTGCCATTTAAGATTTATAAAGTCCCACCAATCTCAGATGAGTGATTCTCAGAATCACTGAACATATAATTGAAAATACTTTATAATCCCAAAGAGCAACAGGTAGAGGAGTTAATGTGAAATGTGTTATGAAACACTAGAGACTAACTATCATGTACAGCTTGAATACAGTTTTCCTTTCAGAACAAGGGTGGGCAGAGACAGGGAAAAAGTTAGTTTCTCTTTTACCATCCAAAAAAGAAAAAAATGAACAAAGGAGGTGAACACCTTGACATCTTGTTTTTGATTAGATACTTCAGTAAAGGTTTTCTGTAAGGCATTATTTGTTTGAAAGGAAGAGGATACATGGATGGTGTTTGTGTGTTCTTTCTGGACCTGATTCATGCTTCTTCACATAAGTGGAATTATATAATAGAACAATAACTGAGTTTTTCCCCAAATAGTTTTAACATAAAAAGCCTAGTTAGGGGAAGGCACCACTTAACCAGAAATGATGACATGGATTTGACAGGAGACTTTCATCAGAGTTGTTTTGAGTATTGGTCAAAGAAGTTACTAGATAAAAACATAAAGCCTTATCTTCAAGGTGCTAGTTAGAAATACATTACTGTGCCATCCATAGGAAATTTATGCCAAAGTTATTTTAGAATCCATCTCCTCAGATAGTAACTTAGATATTAACCAGTTTTTTATTTTTTTTTTTAACAAAGTCTAGTCCCTATTTTGAAGTTCTTAGGAAGAATGCGAAAAAAGAACAGTGGTTCTTTAAATGTTATGAAATGAATTTGCCTACATTTGATTGAATTGAAACAGCAATTCTGCTGCTTTCAAGGTCCTCTGCCATTATCGCTGGTCTGTAACGAAATCATGACTGTGCATTTGATAGCATCAGTAACATTCATCTGATTAGATTCTTATGGTTGTTAACCAACTTCAAACCAACCCTGACTCCCCATCATTTTCTTACAGTATTGAGTCCAAAAGTGCTAGGCATTGCCATCGCTCGGTATGACTTTTGTGCAAGAGATATGCGAGAATTGTCCTTGTTGAAAGGAGACGTGGTGAAGATCTACACAAAGATGAGTGCAAATGGCTGGTGGAGAGGAGAAGTAAACGGCAGGGTGAGTTGTCCTCTCCATGTGGTGGTGCGCGTGAAGGAAGGGAATTGGGCAGGAGTTGCCACTCATTGTGGTGCCGGGGAGAAGCCCCTGGGCCATGTTGCAGCCTTCAGCCCACAGACCCCTGGCCTCTGGAGACTGCACCTTACCGATACCAGCCACCCTCTAGAAATGTGTTGAATGAATATGATAGTGACATAAATACAGTTCACCAGGCAAGTTGGTGGCTTTCTCTTTGGAAAAGAGTTGAGCACTTCAGTTCTTTTTACACTGAAGCCTTAGAGCACAAACTTTATGTGTATTGTAAAATATCTATAAGAGCTGCTGATCTAAATTGGTGAGAATGGGGCATAGTACCTCTGTCTTATTATCCTGTTACACGGCAGAAATAGGAATCATTATGCAGTAGAGTCCCCAGTATTACATTTAATTTGCATATTTATTTGTGTGCTAGTGGATTAGTACACTGTTTAAGCTTATTTTATTCCTCTTTCTCTATCATTCACTCTATTAGGGGCTTCTAAGCAGTTAAACCAATCTTCTTTACCTACAACGGGCATAAAACCCTAGCTTAATTTGGGTGTTATGAAAACAAAATACTCTGTAGAATTCTTTGAAGTGCCAGATAACAAGTCATGTTACAATGTTGGTTGCTTTTCTTTTTTAGGTGGGCTGGTTTCCATCCACATATGTGGAAGAGGATGAATAAATTCCAATCCAGCATTGCACCCTGCACCAAAATGTCAGAGAAGGGATAAACAGAAGCCTGCACAGCATTGTGAATTAACCGAAGTGTTTAAAAAGCTGCATTTCTGGCTGTTCCACATCCTCCCTCCTTAACTCCTCCTAAGTCTTAATGCTGGGATTTCTAAAGATGCTGGTACTGACAGATTAATGGCTTGCCTAGAGCTGTGCGAGAAACAGCCTGCCAGTCTGTCATTGTCAGGGACCAGGGCAAAGCCAAAAGCTGCTCTTCCCCAAAGAGCTCTGCACACACATTGGTTATGTTTCTCCTTACTTCATCTGGTCAGATACCACAACTGCCAGCCATTAGTAAGTGTTTAATGCATATTTACTTTATTCTCGCATGCCATTCACCAGAATTTTTGATGGCACAAAGAAGCAGAAGTTTAATTTTGCTTTTCCCAGTATGAAGAAATATTAGAGTTCCACCATTTGGGCAGCTTACTGGAAAGATCCAGCGTTACTTGTCTTAAATTGTCCAACAAGGTGACTCATACCCAGCAAACACTTTTACCCCCAGAGCAGATTTTACTCATGATAAAATATAAAAGGCAAATAAATGCCCAGGTTTGCATCATAAGTGATACATCCCTGAAGGGTTTTAATTATTCATTTGATGCCCTGATTATATTTGCAAACTTCCTTATGAAAAGTGAAAAAAAACACATAACAGAGTGTCTTCATATTAAATCTTCCTAGCCTTCATGATTTCATAGGTTATTTTGGCATTGTAGACTTTATGAAATAATCTTGACTGGGTATATTATGGGTCGTTACCAATTACCTGAGTAAGGTAGCATTGTTTACAGAAACAGATCAAGGGCTATCATTCATGTAAGCCATTTTACAGTGGCAGTATCTATTAACACATGCCTTTCCCTGCTCTCTCATGGCCCAAAAAAGACCTGGGATATATTAATATTTTCTGATTCCCACATTTTCTTGGAGCACAAACAACTTTTCTGCGGATTTTTTAAGGAAAGCCCAACAGGGTCCTTTATGCATTTCTGGGACAGAAGGAGGGTTTTGGGCTTTTGTGGGCTTCAGCGCCTCTCAGTCTAGCCCTCTGCAGCCCTTTCCGGGAGCGCATTAACTGGAGGGGAAACCAGCGTCACGGCGCGCTTGTTTTAGCAGGCGTCTCCTTTTCTGTGTGAAGAGTCTAGTCATGTTCTTCCTGGGACGCACACAGTCCCTAGTCAAGACAGTCAGGTCCAGTCACTAACTCGGCCCGCGCCTGATGAAGTATTTCCTCCAAAGCAGAAGTCGTGTTCTGACAAGATTCAGAGAAAGAGTTTTGTGTTTGGGAAAAACGAAAATTATAAGCATTAACATAATAAGACTGAGCTAGAAGCATTCAGTTTTGAAATTCTAGATTATCTCTGAGATGAGGTGGGTGTGCCTGGCCTCTCTCCAAGCCACCTGGGTGCCGAGCGTGACGATCAGTGGATGCACCCCCTGCTAGAGCCCTTCCTGGGCTAGGACTGTTCATCTAGCATAGATTCAAGACCTTTACCTCAGAATTATGTAAGCTGTGATTGTGTTTTAGAAAAATTATTTGCGAAAATCAGTTAAGTTTTTGTATATGTGTAAATGATTATGAAAATGTATTTTATAAAATGTTCTGTACAGTAAAGTTACACCCCTAAGGTGCACTGTTGGTGTGGATTCTTTCCCATAAAGTCTTATCTGCGACTCCGCGTCTCGGGAATGTTTTGTCTGTTACCGTCAGCCAATGTTGTTATGGAGAGAGCAGCTTCACACAAATGGAAACACTCCTGTGTGCACAGTATTGTAGCATGTATTGTTTATTTTAGTCAATAGACTCCCTGTATAAATGGTGTTTGATCTTCCTGTTGCATTTCATGGGCCTGGGGGTTTCCTAGCAGAGGATAGTAGAACCCTTTTTGTGACATTACCAATGACATCTTTGTCTATGTTTAGTACTTTGTATTGGAAACTTTAAATGCTGCGGATTTGTGTAGAGTTCTAATACCAAAGACAGAAGTAACTGTTTTCCATATACTTTGTCTTGCCTGTATGCAGCCCTGTGTAATATGGTGGTAAATTAGAGTGGCATTTCACTTTGTAATATTTTGTAAATATGTCAATACAATAAATAGTTACTACTCATGATAAATTGATTTCTCAAGAATTGAATAGTCTTTTTATTGAATGATTCCCTAACTCACATATGCCAGCCTCATAATTAACATGGGGACACAAGCCCTAATTTTGGCCAGGTTTACTTCAGGGTGCTGCCTAAGCTATGAACAGTGAACTCTAAAATAAACTCAGTAGTCGCAAATAGCATCTAATGATATGTGTACAATGTGTCACACACTGTTCTTAGTGCTTCATGTGACCAACAACCACCCCAGAAGGTAGAACCCTGTACTATCTCCATTTTCAGATGAGGAATCTGGGATCTATCAAGAAATCGCTACTTTCCCGAGGCCATACAGCTGGTAAGTGTCAGAGCTGGGCTCCGACTTGGGCAGTCGGGCACCAGAGCCTGAATAACCACTACCCCACCCTGCCACACTTCATAGGGCAAGAGAGAGATTGGGTATATTTTTAGGCTTCCATAGCCAAGAAGAAACTATTTGACATTGAATAGTGGTTTAAACAATTGAAGAATACGGAATTCAGAAATATTCCACTACTCCTGCTTCCTAAAAGAAAACTCCAAACAGATACTGCCTAAAGAGATTGGTGTCCGACTGAGTTGTGCTTTTTCTATTTTGATTCAGCTTTTGCACTAGAAAATAATGACTACTAAGCCAGAGAGACTCGGAGTCAAGTTTCCTTTGGCGGAGCAAGCCTGCAGGTAATTCACAGGGTGGAAGCTGTCATAAAGCGGGGTGGGGGGAAGCATATTCCTTCTAAGGACCAGGAAAGGCCAGTTCCACAGTAGGAGCCTCTGCTTGACTTCATCAACACAACCGTGCTCAGAAATAGCAAATTCCCCCATTGTCATTATGATACAGTGTGTTATATGGCCCTCCGTTTATTTGAGAAGCCAATTCCATTGGTGTCTTTATCGCTTCTCTTAGACATTAATATTTATGTGACTTTTAGAGCTTGTATCAGATCATCACAATCCTCACCACTGTCAACTGTGGTGAGAATTGCCCCCCTTAATTTGTTAGTTAACATGAAAATTTAACCTTTGCAACATTGAAGTATTTTGTCTTCCGTCAAGTGACTGAAGTCAAATGTGTTAGTAGTTAGTCTTGAGGCATCCTACTTTGTTCCACTTGATTTGACAGCTGCATAGGAGAGTGGAAAAGGCCTGGCCCCAGAAGTCAGACTGACTATCTGGGTTCATATCTCATCAGGGCCTCTGCTGGTCAACATGATAACAACACCTTCTTCGTAGACTGGTGTGAGACTCAACTGAGATCATACGTGTAAAGTGGAATATATATAAAGGGGAACTGCGCCCGGCTTGTACAGAGCCATTTTTGTCATCATCATTGCTGTCATCGTCAGATGGATTTACTGACAAATTTGGGTAGTTGCTGTCTTAATCTTTGCATTCCTTTAGCATAATTAAGGCTCATTTATTGGATTAAGTAGAGAAACTCTTCAGATTCTAAATTAGCCTCTCTAGGAAGGAAATTAAGAACTATTTGGTGTTACAGAAAGAAGGAGAGTTTTAGCATCAGTCAGCCCTGGGTTCAAACCCCAGCTCTGCCACTGACTTTTCTGAGCATCAATTTCCTCTTCTGTAATAAAGGCATAATTAAAAGTGCTCGAGAGAGCTGTTATGGAGAATAAACAATAACACATTAGAAACACCCCAGGTTAAGAGTCTGGCACATAGTAGGTACTCAAGGAATGTTGATCTCTCTCCCTTTATGAACAATAAAATACTCAGTTATGTACCAAATTCTGTACTATTGCAGGCTCACGCTTTGTTTCTTACACATGGTTTAATTTTCAGCATTGAAATGATAGAGTAAAAGGTGTATATGTTCAGGAAGATTAATATGCATACCAACCATCTCAGAAGCTGAATTTAATAGCTCCACATTATTTTGACTAGGGAAATGGAATTTTCACACAGCTCATAATCAGTTAGACTGAGCCTAGTAGTCACTTCATTTTTCACTGAAACTAGTTTTCTGGGACTGCTGGACTCTGACTAGAAAAGTTGTGCACCCACCTCTGGTCTGGCAGACCTTGGAAGGAATCTAATTGTAAGTCACAAACAAGTCCCAGAAAGGAGGTCAAAATGGAATCCTCGTTTCTATTAATTAAACCACAGTGGAAGAAACAGTGATAAAACAAAAATCTCCTTTTGAAGTACTCTAGATGCTGGCTCTGTTAGAAAGTTCTAGAACTTTTAGGCACAAGGTGACTATATGACTGAAGCACATAGCCAGACAGGGAGAGGCCTCAGTGCAGAAACAGAGCAAACACGTAAGTCACGTCCCGTCCCGTCCTTTAGTGGACGTTGGGGTCCAGGTTGAGTCCTGAGTAAGGGGAAGGTGAACTCCAGGATGACCAGTGCCCAAGGTCGTGCAGATGGAAAATGATGGCAAAGTCGACTCAGCCCCTGCTGTCCTGGCTCCAAGTCACATAAAGGCTCTTTACGTTCGTCTGTGATACATCAGCAAACAGGACCTTGTGATTTCCCAGAATTGTTTCTGCAATTTCTAAGGCCTTTCTTCTGGGAATCATATGGGGAGCTGCTGGGATCCTAGATCAGGGTCACAATCCTTGTACCTCTTTCTGTCAGCCTGTATTGACGAGTGTGAAATGCGTCAATAAACATAACAGTCACTCGGGAGTCTGATCACTGACTGTATGTGGATTTTCTAGTGATCGAATGACCTCTCCGCAGAAAGGGAGAGGTTCATTGTTTTTTTTTCCCCTATGATAATTTAGGGTCTGTCTCCTTTTCTCATTTAGACGTGTCTTTTTTTTTCCTTTTGGTACTGGTACCTGCTAGATAGTGTGCTAGAGTACGCCAGGCATTTGTTGTATATGATCTCATTTATCTCATGTAATCCTCCGAGAGTCCATTAAAGATTGATATCATCCCATCTTTTAATCATGAAAACTCCAGCCCTAGTTAAGTAACACTTGTACACTATAGCTGGTTTTTAAGGCTATTTGACCTGATTTACTATTCTATACGACCTCTCTTTTTGTGTAAGAAGCAGCATAGACTAGTGGTTAAGGCCTCAGCCTTTGAACCACACTGTCTGGCTCTACCACTTATAACTGTTTGACCTTGGGCAAGTTGCTTACAATGCTTGTTCTTCTGTTTCACCATAGTTAAAATAAGGTGATGGTAGTACCTTATTTCAGAGAGTTTTTGTGAGGACTAAATGAGATAACATCTGGAAAATGTTTAGAAAATTGCCTGGCAGAGAGTAGACATTCATTAAACAAGAGAGTTTTTAAAATTGCATTTCAGCCACCATTTTAAATATACATACAAAAATAAACATTACAATTTTTTTGTTTTCTTTTGTTTTGTTTTGTTTTAGAGACCGGGTTCGCTCCGTCTCCAAGGCTGCAGTACAGTGGTGTGATCACAGCTCACCGTAACCTCAAACTCCTGAGCTCAAAGTGATCCTCCCACCTCAGCTTCCAGAATAGCTGGCACTACAGGGTATGGTACAAATTTTAAAAGTTAACTCAGATATTAAAAAGAACCACTCCCTTTGAATGTATATTAGCCTATGGAAGAAACATCTTGAGTTAACTTTTCACATTAGTAACACTTTAAAAATGACACACAATGGAGCACGAATCAAACGCTCTACTAGAGCATGGTGTATCAGTTATCTGCTGCTACGTAACAAATTCTGCACTCCAAAACTTTGCAGGTGAAGACAACAAGCATTTATTATTTCACAGTTTCATGGGTCAGAAATCAGAGAGTAGATTAGCTGGGAATTTCTGGCTTAGGATCTCCCATGAGGCCTCCATCAAGGTGTCAGCCAGGCTGCAGTGATCTCTGGGCTCAACTGGCGGAGAATCTGCTCCCAAGTCACTCATGTGGACCTCTGCACATGGCTGCCTCACGACATGGCAGCTGGCTTCTCCCAAAATAAGCATCTGAGAGTGAAAGAGCAAGAGCACTCGAGATGAAAGTCTTTTTATAACAATCTCAGAAGTGACAACCCATCGCTCTGCTCTATTCTATCCCTCAGCATGGAGTTGCCGAATCCAGCTCGTGCTCAAGCAGAGGGAAGTACACAAGGGCTGAACACCAGGACAAAGGGATTGTCGGGGGCCAGCCTAGTGGCTGCTCACAACAAATGGGTAAATTGGAAGTTCATGGAAGCCAAATATGAGGGTCTGAAAGGCATGAGTTACTTAAGAGAAATTTAGTTGAATCTAAATTTAGTTCTTTATAAAAAACAATTTCCTGTTGATTCCTTAAATCAATATTTACTCAAAAGCTTACCTAAGGGGTACAATGAACACTGTTATCTGGGTGATGGGCACAGTTTTAACTCTGATTTGAGCATTACAAAAGTGGTCCATGTAACCGAAACACTTGTACCCCCATAATACTTTGAAATTAAGAAAATATATACTTAGTGAACCTACTCTACCAGCCTCTACCAGGGATACAAGGATAAATAAGAGAGGGCGGTCTCCCCAGGAGAGCTCATTTTCTTTGTCCTTTCTCATTTAGGAAATGCTCTTCCTGAGGCTTAGTGTGTTGGGAGAGGGAGAGGTGTCCAACTTGTGAGAAGGTGCTCAGCCTCACAGCAGCTCAGAGAAAAGTGAAAGCAGCAACCAGTCATGCCTTGGAAGTATCTGTTGAAAATTTAAAACTCTAAAATCCCCAAATGTGTGGCACTTCATTCATTCATTCATTCATTTATTCATTCATTCAGCAAATATGTATTGAATTCCTTCTGTGCACTCCACAGTTCTAGGCTTTGAGGATACAATGATGAACCTGACACAATTCCTACACTTAAGAACCTTACATGCTTGCAGGTAGCAACAAGCAATAAACAGATACATAATATTAGGCACTCATAAGAGTTATTGAGAAGGAAAAGCAAAATATATATGGAGAGTGTTACGACATAGGGCGATAAGGGACGGTTTTATGAGGAAATGATTTTTTTTAGCAGATACCTAATTTAAG